AATTGGAGTAATTTTTTGCGTGTACATTAAAAGAAGATGATGGAGGATGATTCAACGTTCAAGTGCGGTAAACGGCATTTGACTCATGAGTGCTTAATAAACGAGTGAGATAGAGTTTACCAAACGCGTTGCATACTATACTTTTTCTACGACCGTCACGAAAAAAATCATAATTTAACAAACTAAAAATAATAACAGATCATCGGATTACTAAATTTCGTACCATTCAAACAAAATATTTACTAGTTGTCATTAAACCTATTCGTTTCGTTCCTTGTCTCCTTTTATTGGATATGTCATATAAATAACAGAATAAACACAATTTTAAAACGGTATATTGTTTATTTAACTTATACAATTGATCATTAAGTAATTTATTTAAAGAAAAAGGCTGCAATTGGAAGAAAAATCATCCAAGGATAGAGCTTTTAAGAGGATTAAATTTTTAATATCGTATAAGCCAAAAAAGCAGGTGCTAACCTTCAATTGTGTTTTGTTTGTACTGATGAGACATGGATATTTGAAAATGGTAGAATTGAAGTTATAAATGTCACTTTACTTACCGACTAGTCCACTAGATTTTAATATTAGTTTTTATTTAAATTATCTGATATATTGCATAAAATTTTTGTGTGTATGAGTTTTAGGGTACATTTTTGCAAGAAAAACACGAATACATTGACTGACATGACCGTCAGGACTGACAGACGTCAAAATTCAAACCTTGCGGTAAAATCTCCGAAAACATCCGATTTTTCCTAAACCCATGCGGTAAAATCCAGCAAATATCCGATGTGACTCGGATCCGTGGGAAACGAAACTGAAGTGGTAAAGTGGCGCTTCCCGCACGTTAGATCGGAAGTAGAAAAAAGGATTTACCTGTGATATGTTTCACTTTTGGCTATGCCACAAGAGCGCACTTTTGGATACATTAAAAATGCTACACATATGCATTTTCATCTTGCCATCTTATACAATTTCGTTGTATAAGGACTTAAACGCCATCTTTCAATTCTAAAGAACATAATTTTCTAATAATAATCAGCAAATTAAAGCAAGGTTAATGTCAAAGATACAACGCAACATTTTGAATGTCGAAACAAAACTTCTGATTTTGAGGTTCTGAACCCACTTTTGGGTGCTGAATTTTCATATATTACTTTTTGGCCCTTTCATTATATTTCCTCGGCAATATTACATAGATAATATCTTTCTAAATATAAGTACAGCAAACTTCCGTTTCGAGTGAGGCCGTTAAATTCAGCCCGCCAACAAATTATTATCTCAACCCCAAACGAGTACGTTCTATGTGCTACTTATTAGTAAACATATTTTTTAATTTAACATTACGTGTGTGTAGCTATTTGCTTTTGGCCATTTGGTCATTATATGTCATTATTTTTTTATTGTTTCCAGAAGTGAGCTATTATTAAAAACAAAACAAAAAAAAGTAACATTAAGGCGGACAAATTTTCGCAAAGTAGAATTGCTTTCCTGACCGTTCATATTCTCATATAAATATTTTTCTCCAAATTTGAAAAAATCCATCACCTAGAAACTCTTGCTCGCTGGAAATTTCATAAGAAGCACAAAGCTTGTGTACCAGCAGTGGACCTTAATTTCTAGCATCTAATTCAACAAAAAAATTATTATATTGTACTTTCTGCTACAAAGTTTTTCTCTCCTTGATGTTAAAAATATTTGCCAATTCGATGTCATTGATTTCGTAGTATCATTACATTACTCCTGCTAATAATTGAAAATATTTTTGACATTAAATATACTCGATATATTAATGCTACGTTGCGGGCCTCAATTTAATTGGATCAACGGATTAAATTCCTCCCAAAAATGAATGTTCCCTAAAACTCCATAAAGTTTTTATATGGCACATATGGTTTTGCGAATTGCTTCGTAACCCAATTTATACGGGCGTACGTGTGTTGATATAAAATCAAAATTTTAATCGGTTTGTCAGCAAAAAAAAAAGTGTGCCAACCCCTGTATTGTCCGGAGAAAAACCTTTCGAATCGATATATATATATATATGTGCGTATATAACCGGAGCGGGTGTTCAACCCCACTAATATGCAGACTGTGAAAAAGTACAGCTGTTGCTCCGCGTTACACATATATGGAGGGCAACGTTCCTCTTGCGTATTCTTTAAATCAATTAAGCTCATTTGACAGCTGGCGCGCGGCTAGTTACTACGCTACTACAAGCGCATCGGCGATCACCTGGCGATATTGATATAATAAATATGTCGAACCACCTCGTCCTATTTGAGCGAATCTTTCGTTGGACGTTTTGTTGTCTGTGAAGTTTTTATTAGACACGAGTTTGTGTTCCATTTGTGTTTTAATTAACTTATCCGATTCAATAAATTATCGTTTGTGAGTGAATATAGAGGTCTCGGTAAATTCCAAACCTCCGATTCTTGTAGAAATAAAAAAATATAAATTTCTACCCACTGGCCGAATCTGTTTTGTTAAACAAAATGTAGTGTTCATTTTGTATTTGATTTGTAATATTTCTGATAATTTTACGATTTTTATGGATCATTTAGTTATCCATGGCATTTACTTATAGAAGTTTTATGACTGTGAAAAATATCCAATTGTCATTTCATGTAATTTAATGTCATTGGTTCAGTAAGTATACCAGGTAGAAATTGCACTCTCTCTCTCTCTCTCTCTCTCTCTCTCTCTCTCTCTCTCTCTCTCTCTCTCTCTCTCTCTCTCTCTCTCTCTCTCTTTCTTTCTATCTTTCTCTCTCTCTCTTTCTGTATATCTCTCAGTTCATCTGGGGAACAGAGACACTATAGTTATTGGTACTTTTCCTTACAATGAAGCAACATACCAGGTTAACTGGGTAATACATAAAAATTTATTAAAAAAATTAAAAATAGTAGTTATCCCTCAGTAGTAAGGTTTTCGTAATAATTCCGATTATCCTTAAAACCGAATTTTCTTGACATATTTTATTAATTACCCAAATTGTTTAGCAATAACTGGTCAATTATTGTTTTAAGTGTTTGACAGATGCCAAAGTTTTAGGCCTTAAATCATGAGTTGTTGCATTTGGGTAGGTACGCGATGAGTGTATGAGTTTTGCAATTGCATTAAGTTTTGAACCAAAATAGATCACAAGCTTCTCATTCATTACTTTTTTTCTATAGAAATACATTTCGTTTAATTTCCTGAACATTTTTGTTACAATTTTTTCGTATGATTACAATAATCCTGAGATAATAAAAAGATTCAATTGAGTAATTATTTTGATATATATATATATATATATATATATATATATATATATATATATATATATATATATATATATATATATATATATATATATATATATATATATATATATATATATATATTCTCACGTATTGATTCACGGATGGAAAAATGTGATGACACTATATTCCGGGATATCATCCGTTCGCTCGTTGAACTCCGACTGGAATACTGCATCCGACTGGAATCCTGCAAATCCTGCATCCGACTGAAATCCTGCAGACGTTTCGCCAAAATCTCACTTGGCATCTTCAATGCTCGCGCTCCGAAAACACTTCGAACAAGTGAGATTTTGGCGAAACGTCTGCAGGATTCCAGTCGGATGCAGGATTCCAGTCAGAGTTCAACGAGCGAACGGATGATATCCCGGAATATAGTGTCATCATATATATATATATATATATATATATATATATATATATATATATATATATATATATATATATATATATATATATATATATATATATATATATATATATATATATATATATATATATATATATATATATATATATATATATATATATATATATATATATATATATATATATATATATATATATATATATATATATATATATATATATATATATATATATATATATATATATTTATATTCTCACGTATTGATTCACGGATGGAAAAATGTGATGACACTATACTCCGGGATATCATCCGTTCGCTCGTTGAACTCCGACTGGAATCCTGCAAATCCTGCATCCGACTGGAATCCTGCAGACGTTTCGCCAAAATCTCACTTGGCATCTTCAATGCTCGCGCTCCGAAAACAGTGTTCGAAGTGTTTTCGGAGCGCGAGCATTGAAGATGCCAAGTGAGATTTTGGCGAAACGTCTGCAGGATTCCAGTCGGATGCAGGATTTGCAGGATTCCAGTCGGATGCAGGATTCCAGTCGGAGTTCAACGAGCGAACGGATGATATATCCCGGAGTATAGTGTCATCATATATATATATATATATATATATATATATATATATATATATATATATATATATATATATATATATATATATATATATATATATATATATATATATATATATATATATATATATATATATATATATATATATATATATATATATATATATATATATATATATATATATATATATATATATATATATACAAATTTTATTACGCTTTAAAAGTGTGTAAATATCGGTTTGTTTGTTGTGTGGATGAGTTTTTAACTGTGAATATTCGGTTGAGGTGGAACCGTATGCCGACGAAGGCTTTGGTTTCGAAATAAACTGACGTAATGTCGATGGTTGTTGATGAGTTGCATGTGCTTCATATTCCGGCATAAAGATTTGTAAGAATTTGGATTCACGAAACAGATTTCCATCCTTCAGAGATCTTTGTTCTTGCACTAAAATGATTAATACCTCGCCATTCATGTTCTTAAAACCATCCCAATATTCAAACAACAAAAATGCATGCTGTAGAAAAAGGAAAATATTGTGGTAGTATTGAAATCCCGTAAATGAATTTGGAAGAAATTCTAACAAACTGTCGTTAGCAATAAAATCGAAAACATGGCAATATACGCAAACCTTTTTGTATGAATTCTTATCCAGAATGAATGAATATTTTTCCATTTTTTCCCTACGCGGTTAAATATATGATACTCGAAGATGTATCACTATAAAGGGTTATCTTTTGTTACAGGTTATTTAAACGAAGTCTCTCCGTCAAACTACGCGACGTACGTCCCGAAAACAGACACCCCTGTCCCTAACATTTCGCCGTCTTACGCAACCCTTCGGACTGCCGGCGAAGTTGAGGCTCAAGAGTTTTCAACTCCCACGCCTCCGCCCAAACGAAAATCTCTATCTATGATCTACACCAGTACGGGCGCCACTTTAAGCCTGCCTCCAAAGAAAAAGGACATATACAGGCCTTATTCGTTGGAAGATAAACCGTCGCCGATCACTTTGCCTTTCCAGCACGCGATCAGAGTGCCCGCGGAGGAAGACTTGCACGCGGCTCACGCCATATTGGACTTGAGCGCGTCCACTACCGTTTTCCTGCCTCCGGTAACCCAGCACGTGGAAGCGGTGTCCCAAAACGACATTCAAGAGCGGGAAAATATACGACCTCAGTCGTTGTCGTACAAAGCCGGAAAAACGGTAGCCTACACTTACGAGGCATTCTTCGTCAGCGACGGTAGGTCGAAAAAGCGACTAAACTCCGACGATCCGGCCGAGGCACTAGTGCCCAAAGTGAGCAACGAGAAGCCGAAGTACACTTGCAGCGAATGCGGGAAGCAGTACGCCACGTCCAGCAACCTTTCGAGGCATAAACAGACCCACAGAAGTCTGGATTCGCAGGCGGCCAAGAAATGCATAACTTGCGGCAAGGCTTACGTCAGTATGCCTGCGCTGGCCATGCACGTGCTCACTCACAAGTTGGCGCACCGGTGCGGCGTTTGCGGCAAACAATTTTCGAGACCTTGGCTACTTCAAGGTCACTTGAGGTCGCACACCGGCGAGAAGCCGTACGGCTGCGCTCACTGCGGCAAAGCCTTCGCAGACAGGTCGAACCTGAGGGCGCACATGCAGACGCATTCGGCGGACAAGAACTTCGAATGTCAAAGATGCCACAAGACCTTCGCGCTAAAGTCTTATCTCAATAAGCACCTGGAGTCGGCCTGCTTGAAGGAGGAGTCGACGCAGCCGCTCGAAGTTGTCCACGGAGTGCAAAAGGTCGATCTCAACGCGGCGGTGCCGCTGAGGGTGTACGCCGCGTAAGGAAACCGCCGTTAGAGGGTACTTCAGGTCAGTATAGGTGATCGATACTAAACAGCTTCGGAATTACCGGTAGTAAAGCTTTAAATAAGATTATAATATTAGGTTTAGTTTTCTGTAACAGATAAAGGTTTCCCACGTTCCGAAGCGTGACGCGTTCGATCAGCTAAATTGATGTCACTTCTTAATAATGTCTTTCTAGTCTCAAGTATCCTAGTCTTAGTTTAGGGGGTGGAACCTGGGCGCCACAATGTCAACAAAAAAACACTAGTCATCGGTTTCCACCCTGTAGGTGTATCGTTGAACCTATATATAGTTTTAGCGACCCTCGTCACGTGCAGGGTAGCAGTGTCACGAAGTCTAGATTAAAGTCGTGATTTATTCTTCATAAACTGAAGCCCCTGTAAATAGGTTTCCTCTCCTTCTTTCCTTCTCCATTTCCTCGTTTCTGTCTCTCCCTGTGAGATAACATACACATCGCAAACACGTCCACTAAGTTAGGGTTAGATTATAAGCGTTCTCTACCTAAATATACACGGTATTTGCGGGATGCAACAAGGTCTTTCCAAACTCGAGAATTTCCAATTTAAATTCGAAAGTAGTTCAAAGCAAGAAACGATTATTACAAATATCGCGCAGAGTTTTTTTTTCAGCTCAACTGAAACGCCCTTGTTGGATCCTACGTGAGCATTATAACTGTAAATAGGCTGGCTGCGTCAAATACACCACATTGGCTTCGCGCCCGTTTTAGTCTGATTTATAGTTTGCGTAAAAGCCATTTTGTACGTTCATATCAACGAAACTATGAACGAATTGCAACGTTTCGCAAACAACGAAAAATTTATTAATATGAGCATATTTTTAACGATATAAAAATCTAATTAAGGTAATTTTTGCAAACATTGGATTATATCCTGGCACGATATTTAAAAGCTCTAGTTTTATTTTACTTTTTGCACATCCGCCTTAGTATCGAGGGCGCTTTTCCAAATATTTTCAAAACCATGAGAGGGAAAAATGTTTAATTACGTTAGGAGTTCGAGCTTAAGCAATATAATGTGTTTCAGATTTCCACGGCGCAAAAAATACATCGAAACTAGGTAAAAGTGCGCTGAAGAAGTTATGGTGTTTGCAATTAGGAAGCTTGAGAACTATATAAACATTTCTTTTGTAACTAGATATTTCAAAACTGTATGTTATTTTTTTAAAATGAATTATTTTCATTTCATTTCGTATTGGTTTTGAATTTAAAAATGAAGATAAGCTATTAGTTTTGTTTCTATGTTTAAAATCGTTGACCAAAACTAACAAACGATTTCTCATTATTAGATCGTAATAAGATTTTGCAATTCTTTATCCTTATGTTTACTGTGATCTACATTAAACCACGTGTTCACTTGCAAGGAACTTCCAGTAGTTGGTTAGTTAGTAGTTTGTTCCGGTAGGCTTTGATGTTTTGCTTAATTTTGTGAAAGACAAGATATGGAGAAAAAACATCTAAAAACACATTCCATTCCATTAGACGAGTGTAGCGCTTCGCTTTTTAGCAACATATAATTACTTAGAGCCACACAGTAAAATAAAAAAATTTGTTTATTATCCCAAAAATAGATCTTTCACCCATAGTTAACAAGCACTTTATTATTATTATAAATAATATTTTTAATAAAGATATAAAGTTAAATCTGTTCATACACAATATAGTGTTAACTACATCTACAAGCAGAAATTTCATCAACATTTCAATCAACACACATCATGTGGCCAGGCCAAGGCCTAGGCAATTTTCTTGCAAGTGAACACAAGGCTTTAAAATAAAAGTCAATCTCAGATAACTTTAAATGAACATTACAATATCGACTATCTGTTTGGAAGATTAAAATAAAACTAGAACTTTGCTCTATTACCCAGTAGTGCACGCATAATTTGTCATCCCGAAGGTAACGATTAAAAGATATAACTGCAAAAAAACGATAAATTTTAACAACGATCCAAAAATCACTTTTTCTAATATCAGGATTCTGATTCAACTCATTGCGAAACATTCGGCGTAGTCTTTTATCGTTTCATTTTGCAGATATATTTTATCGACATACCCATCCGTTATGCGTGTTGATTGTTTTACAACGATTGCAGTAATGTAGGAGTGTAAACCTAAAATTGCCTAGGTAAGTTTCGCAACTTAAGTGAGATTTACATTGACTTAGAGCTAAGCTAATTTTGAAGTGCGAAGCATTCTAGTCGCAGGTAGTCCCGATTAGCGTTACCCTAACGTGTAATAACGTCCTAGTCTCGTTTTAATAGTCAATTATTTCTTATTATAATTTTATTGTTAGTACCCGTTTTGGGGTTGGGTTAAAATTCGAGCCCGATTCGTTCGGTTTTACATCGACCCCGTGTTTACTCGTAGAATGTATGCGTGCGAGTATGTGTAGAGATGAGAGTCGCATCAGACTAAAAAAACAGAAAATATTGTATAGTATTTAAAATCAGAAACAAAAAAAAAGACGAGAGATCTCGACAAAGAAAAATGAACTTAGTTTTTGGCAGTATTTTTGCAAAATATATATTATATATACGGAAAAAAGATACAAATATTAATATATTAAATATTTATTATTAGAAAGTAATATAAAAAATGTTATTTATGATAATCGAGTGAGTGTATCGGTAGGTAATAAGACTTGCGTCTTGATCGTGGGCCGGTGCAATCAAGCATAATGTTTTCGATTTCAAGATTTATCGGCGTAAGTATAGAACTTAAGGGCCCTCTAGGCCAATTTGGCACCCAACATGTTACGTCACCTGTAGACATTCTGTAAGTAGTTTCGGCGTGATATGAGAATACAATCGAAACGGGTATAGTAGGACCAGACATCTATCGAACTCGTTAAATAGACTCGCCACAACAAGTCACACATAAAAACTGAAAAAAAAGATCTTCTTCTTCTACTTCTTGGAGATCTGTCGATCTGTTAATTCTGAAGCTGCCTCTGCATCTTTTCCTGTGATGTGGATTGCTGCACCACCTTTTAGGTGGTCTCCCGGGAGGTCTTGTGCTGGGCGGGTTGTTTTCCAGGACTATTCTCGGAAGTCTGTTCTCGTCCATCCGTCTTACATGGTTGTACCACTTCCTCTTACGTTGTCTTCCCCATCCCACAATATCTTGTATCCCGCACTGCTCTCTGACATTTGTGTTTCTTACTCTGTCTCTTCTTGTTTTCCCCACTATTATCCTCAGTGTTTTCATCTCTGCTACCCTTAGTATTTGTTTCGTCTTGTTGGTGTCTTCGCGGACTTCAGTGCCGTCATGATGGGTCTGATATAAGTCTTGTAGATTCTAATTTTGCTATCCTTGCGCATGTACGGATTGGACCAGGCTATATCTCGTAGGCATCCTGATAGTGCGGATGCTTTGTTAATCTGGCTCTTTATGTTTTTAACTGGGTCGTGGGTGCTTGATACATCTATGCCCAGATATCTGAATTGCATCACTTGTTCTATGGGTTTGGCCTCCACCCCCAGCTTACATCTGAGCGGATCCTTCGCGATTGAGATACATTTGGTCTTGCTGATAAAAATGTTCATATTGAGTTGGCGGTTTTCTAGGAAGAAATGGAATAGTTGTCTTTGTAGGTCGTTTTCTGATTCGGCGATGATTGCTGCATCATCGGCGTAGCACACCATTCCAACTTTTTTTGCCCAGCTGTATCCGAGGTTGAGACCTGTTACTTTGTTTATAATTTTGTCCATAAGGAGATGTCCTCTTTCATGTCGAAGCAACCACTTGCTTCATTGCAACAAATTCTGAAAAACGACCTTCAAGTAGAGTGGTGTAGACGTCAAATAATTTTCCTTTATTATCATTTGAAGAGCTGTCCTTCCTATATATAAACTAAAATAACTATAACTTCTTGTCCCAAATAAAACAAACGAATGACTAAACTTTTTTAAGCCAAAAATCATCCGTGCGTCATTGTTTTAATAAAATTACTTAGATAATTACTAAATAAGATCCGTACCTGCAGATGCGTAGTCGAATTTCGCACGTTGGCGGTGGTCGAGGGTTGCATTTTTAATTAGTTCGATAGATCGGAGATTGCACTATACTTTTTATTTAACAGTGAGCGTGCGCTGTGCCCAGATCTGGCGAGTGTGAAATCTAGTCATTTTAGCCAGTAAATAGTGCCGGATCCGTATAATTACGACATTGGTTGTTTGGGCCACTGGGTTTGAACGTTAAACTTGGGGTTAGTAGTAGTAGCATTTTCTCCATCATTGCTCCAGAAACAAGCAAAGCACTAATAAGATTAATTGAAGTACGTTGTGAAGACATAAAAATGGCGAAGGTTGTTCAGCCGTATGGCCCAATCAGCTTTTATCGTTTTGTACTAAATCCATGCGTAGCAAACTAAAATTAGTATCACCGATGTGTATAATAGTAGGGGGTGATGTAAGTCAAAACCTGTAGATCTCTAGCGGTTATTCGTTTGATTTGTTTGTATAGTTTGTATTTTAAATGTTCACTGGCGTAACTTCGGGGGGAAACGATCGGTCGAACGTCAACCGCGGACTGCCGAAAAATCCTGTCGCGATATACTACGTACGGGCTGTCCGTTCGAAAACTAAACGGGTGTTCAACCACAACGAACCCAAATCAATCGCGAATTATTAAGAATCATCGACGTGAACAGTTCCCGAACAATTTCAAAAGCAATACGAACGGTTTTAGGAACTAATGCAATAACTAAAAGCAATTACTTGTCAAATTCGATGTTAATCTGTCAATCAGCGGAACTATCTGTGTGCTTTTCTGTTAGTAGCGCTTGCCAAGAATGTAGTTCATCGAAGTTCCATAAAAAAATGACCCGCAAAGCCCAAAGAATAACGGAAGCGGGGGCTCTGAAACGGACCTGGCGAATTTCATTTTAAAGGCAAGCTTAGGGAAAATATTAGGTATCAATACTCAGGGGCGGATTTTTAGGAAGTAAGCGTGTTCCCGTTTAGGTCGAAAGCATGACCTTCGAAAGCCGGGTATTCAAAAGCAATAAAAAGCAGTAGGATGGTCAGAGAAGGCCACGCCTCTGGAACCATAGCAATATATACATAGATAACGAAGTAAACTTAAGTAATAACCGAAATTAAAGTAGATAGAAGATAAGGAGCTATAACGATCGTATGAAGCTGCTTCTTTTTATGGTGGGGGATATGAATGTTAATTTTGCGAAGTCAATTATTGCGAATTCCGTCGCTCAAATCAAATCGACTTGAAACATCCGCACCCAGAATCAAAAAAAAAATCCACACCCAGTAGTAAATTGTTTCTGAATTCTGCCTGAGTTCTCAGGAAACACGTCACCGCTAGATCTACTTGTTGCATTCGGTTATTTCTGCATCACAGAGTTAGTTCATTTTGTGTCGAGGAATTTTGCAAATCTTACTTTGGCGCATGATTACAGTCGAAAAGAAATGAAAACACTTAATACGAATAAATTGGTTTGATATTATGTAAATTTCCGTTTCGGCGGGGGCTCTCATAAACAACGCTGACCTTTTAGGTTATAAATTTGTGAACTGGCTGCCGCACGCGGTTTAATAACGGCGAACTAGCGGTGTTGCCAGATTCTAAATCTCGATGTGATACAATGAAACAAAATCGATAGTTTGCCCTGCGCATACTTTACGAAACTCTTAACTGTACTACTGTTATGTTGATCCAATTTAGAAACAAAGTGCGTTAATAAAAATCAATTCCCCTAAAAGCGAAAAGTTTTTTGTTGGCGGCAAAGGACATAAAGAAACTTTGGATTCGTATAAGGGAGGGACTTTATCGAGGTTTATTTAGCGAAAGAATTGCTGGTTTAAAGGACAATTATTATGGGTGACTTATCCCCCACTGTCGTCTTATAGGGCTATAGTTTAGATCTGCCTGATATAACAGCAATATAGATACAGCAATAGTTTTTAAACGTATTTCATTATGATAAACGAAAAATATAATCAAAGCAATACGAGTTATTGTATTTATCTTTAGGATTTAGGCGAATTTTTAATGAGAAATAGCAGTTATATTATTACAACGGCCGTGTTATAATAATATATACTTTTAACTTTTAATAGGACAATTTAAACTTGAAACAAAAAGAGAAAAAGGTTCTCCTAGTTCTTATTCTGCACTATTATCGTTCTTAATGAGTTGATTTGTAATTTTTGTCGGTAAACTTTGTGTTTTTTTGCACAGTTTGTATAAACTATGTAAGATACTTATTGTTGTAATTTTTGTTGTAGCCTAAGACTTGATTATAACGCACATTACAATGTATTATCGGTTATCGAATCAAACGAAATAAGAACTAAGACGACGTAAACTGTAAAGAACGTAGACCACGTCCAATATGTTAGCGGCATGCCAAAGATTTTTGAAAATATTTACAACGATTTAAATAATAATAAACAAAGAAATACATATATTGAATAAATTGCTGTAAAATAGATTTTTGACTAAGTATTTTTGGCTAGTGCAGTGCTTGCAGAACCTGTATACACATGCAGTCCAGTAATTGACCACAAAATATTGAGTATATTAACTATTAACTCTATGACACTACATAGGAAGTTTTGTATTATATTTTCATAATAAATAGAATAGAAAAGAACTTTATCTCTTTTTTCATTTACGCCCCTTTCCCCCAAATTACTCTCCCTCACCGAAAAATGATATATATTTGGCTTTTTATCCATCAACATATTCCAAAGCCAATTCCACATCTACTCGGGCAAAGATGGATAGAAACGACAGTAATAAATAAGCGCTTTATAGTGTGTTTACGTAGAATAAACGCAGAAACAGGACCACCACAATTTAAATGACACAAAAGAGCATGCGAGGAAAAAGATAAAAACCGCAACCCAACGACCCAACCCAAATAGGAGGGTGCTTACGAAACGAGAGATGCCGGTCAGCGAATTAAAATTCCGGACAGAATTTCTTGTTTCTATTTACTCGCGCATTATTGCTTGAAGCTTTTGGTTTTAAAGTGCCAGTTATCGTGAATCATCACCATATTTTAATTCGCTTCGTAGCAGTGTTTGATAGAGAATTGTCAAATCTAAAAGAGTAGTTAAAAAAAAAAAACATAAAATTTGGTGACTATATAGTTAGTGATGTTTTATGTAGTACAAATGCAAAAAACTACAACAATGGCAAGAAATACAGAATAACATATATACAACATATCTGTTATATCAGAAGGTTTTAAAAAGATTAGCTATCTATCATATACCATTTCTGACTTAAGTAAGTAAAGCTTACAAACTTAAAAAGTATAATTTTCAGGTAAGTAGTGTTGATATGCTAGCAGGTAGATGCCAGACTATTCAGCTGCGTGGTGTGATATCAGCAGTGGTGGACTGGTCTGTTCTTGGGCCCTTGCTCTGTCTATTATACACAAATAACACGAACTTAGACTGTCATCACACTTGTTTGCTTATGTTACTACCAAATCTTGTAAGTCAAAAAGTTATGAAGTGGAAAAAAGAGCCTTCTAAAACAGACAATCTAAGACCAAGTTCAACAATTTTTTTTAAGGGGTTAATGAGTTAATTTCATAATATCGAATATTTTTCTCATATGGTATTATTGCTTGAGGTTAATATTATTTTTCGACTACAACAAAGGGCTATAAGAGTTGTTGCAGGATTGTATTACAAAAAAAGAAGTAGAGGGCTTTCAGAACTTTAGGAAAACTGAACTGTCCATTTTTAACACACAAATAACATTTTCGATAATTTACAAGAAAGATAAAAACAACCATAATTATAACACGACGAATAAGAATGGTTTGGTTCTTATTTTCTGACGTCTTAAGAGGTACAGAAATCAACCAGGGTGTTATGTAGTACGTTTTTACAATAGGAATCACGAATCCAATCAGGCATGTTTTCTACAGTATCGAAGTATTTTTATTTTTTGATTTTAGAACTTAGTATTTTTCTAAACATCCTTAGTTTTATTATTATTGTTTTGATGTAATGTGGATTCGAAACTTTGAATTTGAAAATGTTAATTTAACCCTTTTTGACGTGTGTGTTTTGACGTGTCATCATCATCATCAGTATAATTAGAATGTTTTGATTTGATATATTGACTTAATTTGGATGCGGCATTAACAGCGCAGGTTAGGCGGTATAAGTTATTTAAACATGAAAATAATTTAGAATAATCAAAATACTAAAAAAGATTAAGAGCTTAAAAAAAATCAACACCATTTTTGTTTAATTACTGGTGTTACAGTCGCTACGTGTTATGCTTAGATCGTGGGTTGAAGAAAATTTCGACGACGAAATGGATGAGAGTAACGAACCATAAAAAAAGTGTCATTTGAATATGTGCTGCCAGGGAATCGTTTCAGAAGAATATGAAGATACTCAAATTTCAAGAAACTGTTTCAAAATGCATCAGTCAACGTTTACTGTAACATTTCTGAAATTTGAAATTCGATAATAACTCAAGTTTTTAGTGCAAAATTTGTCTGCTAAAAAGGTCAACTTTGGGTCGATTCCTTGATAACGATTCACTAGAAAGGCTGTGACATAGGCACAGTGAAAGTTATTAGGAATTTTGATGCAGAGGGGAATCAGATACCGTCATTTGAGTCATTACAACCGAAATCAAAAGAAAATATTCGATTTACTGGCAGTCGCGAAACACTGCGGATTTAGCTCTAAAAATGTTGACATTCATTGTCACATGCAAGAGAGCCAACGATTGTTGGAATGGAGACGAAAATATTTAACTGAAATTCGTCAATTTCACGTAGGAAAACGAAATATACATATTGCACCTGCATCTAGAGGACACAAAATATCCATTTTACACTGCTCGATTGAAGATTGGGTGCCAAACGTTTTGCTGCTTTCAATAAAAAAAAACATTAAAGAATACTCATTAGACCACCATCAGGACATGACAAGCCAACTTTTTGAAAACCGGGTCAAAAATTCTCTTCTTCAAAATATCCCACCTGGCATCGTAATAAATTATGATAATACTAGTTATCACAGCGCTTTAGTAGAAAATGTCCCAACGATCAGCGGCAAGAAAGAGATATTGCAAGAGTACCTTAGTCAGCTAGGCCTTTTTTTTTTGAAGATATTTATATAAAAAACAATTTGTTGAAGTTTTAAGAACTATAATAAAACTTATTTCGAAGACCTGCTCATAATAATGTCCGGTAATACACCATTTAAATTAGCTGCTTGTCACTGTGATTTGAATTCTATAGAACTGATATGGGCCAAGTTAAAAAACAAAATTGACGCAATAATATAAACCTAAAAATGTCCGCTCGTCTAATTGATGTAATTAAAAGTCAGTGTGAATCCATATCAGAAAGCAGTTGGAGAGAATGTGTTAATCGTGTGTTCAAAGTTGAAAATAATTTTAAAAAACTTGGCACAAGGTAAAACCATTTTGAGGACTAATTTTTTTTGATTGTATTTTGTGTTTCAACTTGCTTAATACTACGCTGGACTGGTTTGATTCTTCGCACAAAAATGCCTTCAAGCAGATAATATTATTACAATCATCACCATTTATCGTGTGTCGGACTATACCTATACTCTTGGCCTGCTGGGACACTTGACAGTTTGATTTTCTTGATTTTTTTAGGAATAGCTGCCCGTTACTTGATATTTCCCATACAATTTTGCAATTGTCTTCGAGAAAATAAAAAATAATAATAATAAAATGGTCTACTCATGAATTTTTAGACGAAGCAGTAACACGATATTGGACAAAACTTCCAAAAAGGGCTCCCGGAATAAACGAAATACAAGATCGATAAAAAACTGGAGGCCTCTCGTAATTATTCCTGGCGACTCATTAATTAACTAGGAGCTTATTAATTAACCATATGTACCGAAACCATTCTCCCGCAACAAACAATTTCCTCCGTCACCCTAATTACGACCCCCAAGAACGACGGGATACGCGTCGGCAATACCCGATATAAAAACTTCGTGTTGGAAAATACACTCACGCATAATAGCTATATCAAAACGCAAAGCATTATTTTGATTACTCGGGCCAGCCGTGAACGGACAGATGTTGGACTATCTTTGTCAGCTGTGGTCCAAGTCGACCAGGTGTCTTCGACGTACCCCCTCATTCAACAGCTGAAAAGTGGCAACCAACGATGACTGTGCAACAAGTATCCGATGTTTTGGGTCACAGACCTCTTTTTGTTTTTGATTGGGGTGGCAGGGTAACGTGCCGCCTAACATGGTATTTAAGATTCGATGATTCACCGATTCGACTTTTACTCCAGACAACCACTAGATTTTTATTTGAATAATGTTATAAGATCACTAATTTATCCATTGTCCCTTGAAATTAACAACAATTTGGATTTTAGGGATTATAAACGCATGTCATCAGAGAATAGTTCAAACGGATTTAGATTATGGAGGGAGGAATATTTGTTCAATTAAAGCCGTCTTTATGACAGATATGCATCCAATCGAACACGTTTGGAATTATGCCACTAGCTATATGCCATCGAAATTGAATATTGAAACTTCTTGTTTGACAAACTACTTAAGTAAATCATTAGAGTAGATAGCTTAATTTTCTTTTCGCATTTTCCCTTAATGATTTGTCGAAATTATCTTTTTCTTTTCACTTCGCACATACTTTTGTGGGTGATTTTGTTTTGATTTGTCATTTTTTGCTGCATTGTACGAGTATTATTTTAGTGACACTTTCTCATGTTGCACCAATTATTATACATTATACATATAACTATTTCGAGGGAAATAAAACTCCTGTAACTATTTATGACAAAATTGAAAGAACGTTCCCCCCATTTGAAAGTTTTCTATGAGACACTGGATAAACATAAAACCATTTCTACTTATTCTGTTTTTATTAATTGAATGTTTTCAGTCGATACTTGGTGAAAGTTAATATCCGTAATGGTTTTTAGAAAACAAACTGTTATTTGTTGAACTTTCCGTATTTCATTGTCCTGTTTTTAAGGGTAATTCCTCGATTATTGGAGAAATAATTTTTAAACAATTATGATGTTTTTTTCTTTAGGATTTTGTCCGGCGAATAACCTTTACTAAAGGATTAGAACAATTAAAACAAAATAATAAAAGTTCAACAAATAATATCAAATGATCAGCAGTATATAAACTTCCTTGTAAAGATTGATGATGATATATTTTATAAATTACCCAAACTTAAAAATGACAAATTCTGTATATATATAGATGAATTTTTGTTAAGATACCATGTTAGTTTGAAAAAGTTCCAGTGTTAACTCTACTTGTGTGATAGCGAAAGTCCTAGGAAACAGTGGCTCTTTTAATGTTACTTCAACTAAAATGATAGTAATAAAGCCAGTTGCTTAGTGGGTGATCTGCGCCTCATCTATATTGGAAATACTTTCTTTACTTACAATGAGATTTGTTCGTATTATAGTAATTCCTATAAAGTACCTATAAATTACATTTTTGTTGCAGGCGTAACTACATTTGCAGTAAAAATTGTTTATTAAAGGCGAGGCGCGTTTTTGAGGTGATTCCGCCCATATCAAAAAGTTGTTACCTCCTCGGAAAACGAGCTAATTTCGCTCCAGGCCG